ACAATGTAGCTTCTTTACAGCAATTTATTAGCAAGTACAATGAAGATTTTAAGAACAGCTGCTATTGTTTTAATTACAATTTCTTGTACAGCTCTGCAAACCTTTTCAGCAGCATGGGTATAATACACTAATCTCTCTGCAGTTGGAGGGGGCCCTAATTAGTTTTCTGGAGTTTGTGAAGACTGCAATTAAGTATCTCAATTTAAATTATCCATTTTGTTGGGAAGACACATTGGATTTTTTGTCTTTGCTGGAAGGCTTTTTCAAATTTAGCTTTGGGGATTTTGTAACACAAAATGGTTTGTCATTAGGTGGTCAAGAAAATGCTTGTTCTCAATTTGTATCTAATTATTTCCTACTGCACTTTGGCAGGTAATGATCTAAAGTTGATCTGTGTGTCCTTTCATTGCAGTTTGACTTGACAGTAATTTTCTCCTGGTTTTTTGTTTCAGTTGCTTCAAGTCTTTTTGGGGTTTTTTTGTGGGGTTTTTTGTTTCCGTTTGTTTTTTAAAAACCAACAAATGATACCTTTAAAGCATTATGCTTTTTCCTCCCAATTTAGGCAGCCTTTCCAATAAATACATGACTCAGGGAAAAGCCTCACAGAAGAGGACCCAGCAAGAATGATGAGGGATATTAAGCACTGATAAATTGCAACACAGGCCCATCATTCACTTAAAAGAAATGTCTTTGGCTAAAGCATCTGAATTCACAGGACAGCAGCATAGACAACCTTCAGCTTAAGTTCAATGAAAATATGGGTGTTTTATTTTAGATTGCTAGTATAAGCAACTGTGGATTTTAATACAAACCCCTGCTCTTTTTAATAGATTGTTTGAGCATTTTAATAGAAAGCCATGATGTTTTGTATTTGTTTACTAGGTAATGAATTTAGAAAAGGGCAGGCACTAAAAATGAACTGTTTTCAGGGTTTCGTTGTTCCACCTGACCATTTTAAACTGCACTAAAATGATGTGCTAGCCAAATAAATTATATTTTCTTCAAAAATGAATCTTTTGAAGGAGCAAATGATATTTATTAATGTTGATTGTTTACTGAATCCTTGTGTAAGTGTTTGAGATGTTTGTAGACTGCTATATTCCTTTTTATTTCTCCAGAGAAGTAAACACATAGACACTAGTCATCATATGTAAAACAATCTCTGGACAAGCAGTGCCACTGAGATTTTGTGGGGTTATTTTCTGTTCTGTGATTTTATGGGAGTTTATTTGTTGCTGTGCTCATGTTCAAGAAAGTAAGACTAGGTAACAGGTCAGTCCTGTTTTGTTGCTGCTAAGAATCTTTTTCAAGGCCTTGGGGATACAGACAAAAATGCTTTAAGAAATAGAGGTATTATATTTGGCAACTAGCGAAAAATACATGTCCGTTTTCATAGAATATGAAGAGGATCCTTGTACCAGTCAAGAATTTACATAAACTAGTAGTATGAATTTGAGATTTACTTGAAGTCCTTCCAGAGGTGGTAATGTGCCATCTTATCTTGCTCAGAAGCGAATTAGTTACGTGTTAAAATTGAAACCACTGTTAATTTATGAATCTGAAATAAATTTTAAAAAAAAAGTGAAAATCAGACTTAAGTTTCTCTGTTTTTTTCTGAGGTTGTAGTTTTCAATATTCCTGACATAAATGTAGAATTAATGCTAAGTTATTATAATTATCTGGATTTATAACAGTCATGTTCAATTTTTTTTCCCTATTCGTCTATTTTTATGGAAGCTGAAATCTAGAATTGCCAAAGGGGTCTTAGAGAATTAGCATCCTGAGTCTTGTTTTGGTGTTCACCAATCTGAAGCCAGCTATCTATGAACTTCCAGATGTGTTGCTTTCACAAATAATTTCTTCTGCGTTCTTTCCTAAACACACTTTGAAGCATATTACCTTTGTGCTTTATTTAGCTTTCTGTTCAGAGTTACTTCCAATTTTGCTGGTGGGTTTGAAGTGTATGAATCTCCTCCGAAGCAGGTGCATACTCTCCTTCTTAATGATATGGAGGGACACAGTTGTTTATTTATGCTACCTTTTTTATTGGAAGAAAGTGCTGTCACCATATTTCACAGGAATTTCAAATGCTTTTGATGTCTTGAGTTTCCAAAGCTGGAATATGTTTTATGATGTAAATAGTAGGTAATCAGTGCTGAGAAATGGAGCAATAAGTATTTTTTTCAGGTTTGCAACACAGTTAACTGTCTTAAGCAGGTAAGTCAATGTCATGTAGCTACTAGATCACACACATCCATTTTCCCTAATGTAATTGTTCTGGTGAGGTTTGTTTCCTAACAGTTAAAATTTTACTTAAAGCTTCCAGGGCTTGAAATAGCTGCTTAGAATGGGAGTTTTCTAGCATGGAAAGTTGTTGGCTTTTTCTTCCATACTGATAGCTTATCAATATTTCTTATTACTCACTTGAACTAGCTAGATTTTAAAACTCATTTTTTCATTTATTTTCTCTGAGAGAAGGCTATTTTTTTAGCCCATGCTCAGTGCTCCATGTGGAGATTGATTCAGCAGGCAGGGGACTAAGGATTGATGATTGGAAGCATCATGAAGATGCTTCATTTTGCCTGCATATTCAAGTGTGAATGGTGAAGGAGGTATGAGCTGCAGTCATAAACAATCTTCCCTCCTTCAAGTGTACTGACTTCAGCTTTCAGCCCAGTAGTGCACTAAACCCCACTCCCTCACCCCTAAGCAGGAGTAGTTTAGTTGAGATGCATATTCAAGGTGCATGAATTACGTGTGAAAGACACACTGTAGCTAAAGAAAATACAACTTTTTTTATACACCTGCTATCTTTATATTTGCGATAGTAGAACTGTGCCTTAGTAAAGGGCATAATTATGTATGTAAAAAACACGTTAACATATCTTACATGCTACCAAGCTCTTTGGAACTACTAAGCCTGGAATCAGGGAAGTGAGGTGATGAGACCCAAATGTGTTTCTTGTGCTTGGACTTCATAAACAGGGATTTAAAGTATTATCTAGCATGTTTAAGAATGCTGTAATGTGGAAATGAAAAATGAGTATACTTGTTTACCTTCTGGCATAGCCATTATTCAACTTACAGTAATGGCATGAGTCTCCCTGTACCAGGGGTATTGGGTTTTCTTAGGAGTCAAGTCGCTGCAGCCACCAGGAGTAGGGGAGTGGCAGCTCAGTTCATCCAGCAGCTTTCACGCTCTCCTCCCACCACGCCTCTGCACCAGGCAGGGATCAAGGACGGCTGGGCCCTGACCACTGATGGTCATCCTCTCACTTGGCCCCAGACCAGCATGAACTGGGAGGAAAGGGTGGGATCCTGGTCAGCAGGAGGGCAGACACAATGTGCTGTCTGTGATGGATCATAGCAGTCACTGGTTCCAGGTCCTCTGCACTTCACTCAGGGATTTGTCCAAAATGGATCGCTCTGCACATGGGTTTTGCCTGCTGAGCCAAAGCTTCCTATTGAATAGCCATACACATTGTTATTTTAAAATGCTTGCCAGTGTGACGGTCAATAAATATTCACATTCGGTGCCTGTATTTTGTAGGTGGGAAACTATGCACTCATGGGCCTCCGTTGTTCTCTGGTGTGGGAAAATTTTAGGGGGTAAAAAGATAACGGTATGGAAATTGTAGAGGAAAATAGGATTGCTCTACTCCCTGAATGGAATGTGGCCAGCATACCTGACTTCCCACTCACTATACGGGCTAAAGGTGGGTAGAGTACACTAGCCAGGCTCTGTCAGAGGCTTGAGCTTAGTTGTCCTTTCTGGCTGACAAGCTGCAGAGTAGCTGAAAATGAAAGGAGATAAAGGAAGATGTCCTGTTGTTGAATTAGCAGCTGTGGTGGAATCACTCCTTTGGCTTACACATTATTCATTGTGAAATATCCACCCCCAGCATACAACCACCCCTCACAGGGTAAGATATATGACTGCAGCCACTCAAGCTCCATCTAAACATAAGTAAATAGTACAAATGTGAATTCAGAAAGGTGAGAAGTTAGGAAAGACTCCATTCTAACTTCTGGAATCTGTTGCTATGCTCAACCTGTCTTTGCCCCTGTGGGGACAATAATGGGGTAAGAACAGTGTTCTGTGAATGGTAAATTACTGTCTCAATCTCACTTTTCTAAGGGATTAGAGCTTTTTAGTACATTTCTTTGAATTAATGTATTGCTTTTAATATGTTTTTGCAGTCAGCTACTATCACCAGTCCTTGAACATTAATATGTTCAGAATTCTAGGCTCGATCCAAAGTAGCAAGACCAGGGATGGGATTCTGCCCCCCTGCCTCTTGTGAGACACCACCTGAAACACTGCATCCAGCTCTGGGGCTTCCAACTTAAGAATGATACGGAACTGTCCAAGTGTGTGGCCTCCCCTGCATTAAGTTGATAAAAGGACTGCAGCCACCTCCCTTATGAAGACAGGACCAGAAGGTTGGGACTGCACAGCTTGAAGACAAGAAAGTTATCTGGAGACCTCATGGCAACCTTACCGTATCTGCAGGGGGCATACAGGGGAGCTGGCGACTCTTCATCGGGAACTGTACTGATAAAACGAGGGGGAGGTTTAAATTAGGTATTAGGAAGAAATTCAATACTGTGAGGCAGGTGAGGCACTGTAATGGGTTGCCTAGCGAAGTTCTGGATAAGGCTTGGACCAACCTAATCTAGTGAGAGGTGACCCTGCCCTGATGATATTTAAGCTCAATTCTAACCCCCTTACATGCTAAATTAACAAAGATTGTTATTTCGTGACCCTTCCCCGGCGCTGACAGGCTAAGCAGTCATTAAATGGCTGCAGCAAAACCCTCCCCTTTGACGTGACAGCTGGGCGCTGCTGTGCCGCGGCCTCCCCAGGGCAGCTGAAGGGCAGGGCGTGCAGCCGGCTCCGCCGCTTATCTGGGCGCGCAGCCCCGCTGCCGGCGGCGCCCCGCCCTGCCGGAGCCGCAGCGCCGCCGGGACCAGGACCAGGACCAGGACCAGGACTGGCACCGGCAGCGGGAGCGGCGCCCTCCGGGGGTGGAGCCGCCGCCGCCCGTCCCGCCCGCGGCCCGTGCGCGGTGGCGTCACAGCGTGCGGGCGGCGCTGCCCGCGGCCGAGGGCGCCGAGCCATGGCCTCGTCCGTGGTGCGCGCCACGGTGCGCGCCGTCAGCAAGCGCAGGATCCAGGCGACCCGCGCCGCCCTCACGCTGGTCAGTGCCGCGGGCGGGCGGCGGGCGGGCCCGGGACCGCGGCTCCGCGTGAGCTGCGCCACGGGCAGCGGGGCGGCCCCCGGCCACAGCGGGGCGGGCACAAGGACGGGGCTGGGCCGGGAGCGGGCGGCGTCGGTGACCCCGGCGGGGAGGCTGCGGTGGGCGGGTGCGAGGGGCTCTGCTGCCCCTGCCCGGTGGGACAGCGGCGGCTCCTGCTCCCCGCCGGGAGGAGGCCCCGCGGAGAGCCGGGGCAGCGCCGCTGCGGCCCCTGCGAGCGCGGGGCCCTGTCGCGTAAACACCCCAAAAACAGGATTTGATTAAAATGTTTTGGAAGACGGTAATGCGTAACCTACCGAGGCTGAGGCGTAGGTTCTTTCCAGGAAGGCTTTACATCCTGTTGTTAATAATAAAATGCGCGCATTCTAGCGGCCGTGCTGGAGAGGCCGAATTGAAAACACGGTGTTGGGTCGTAGGTCGGACTCGGTGATCTCAGTCTTTTCCAGCCTCTGACCTGAGAGCGCTGCAGAGCAAAGCACAGTTAGTTTCCCGCAGGAGCAGGAGCAGATGGAATGCACACAGCTCAGTCGTTTGTCAGAGCAGGTGATTCCTGCTCAGCAGTGGGTCTAGAGACACACAGTCCCACAGCAAAAGTGGTAGAGGTAATTAGAAAGGATTTTCTACTGCAGGTCTACTTGACGTTTACTTTGTTAAATTTAGCTCATAGTAAGAACTTCGCATTACTAACGCTTTTCTCAGTGTCTTAGAAACTTGTGGGAATTTAATGGAAATTTTGACGTTTGCATTTTGTTATTGCATTTCTGCATCAACTAGATCTGCATGAATGCTGAATTTTATCTGCTGTTAAATCACAGGTTCCTTTAAGGTTAATGGGGAGAGAGAAGTAGGCTATATGCCCTCTATAGCTAACTGATTTTTGTCTGTAATGGGTATGTGACAACATGTTTACAAGAACAGAGCTACTTGATTCAATTATGGTAGTGATTTTGGAGGAAAAAGCTGCGAAGAAACAACAGGGATCTTGACAGGCTTGAGAGGTGGGCTGATACAAACTTAATAAAGTTCAACAAAGTGAAATCCAAGGTCCTGCACCTGGATCAGGGCAATCCCAGGCACAAGTTAGGTGGAGAATGGATTGAGAGCAGCTGTATCAAGAAGGACTTGGGTGTGATGGTTGATGAGCAGCTGGACATGACACAGCAATGAGCAGTTGTAGTCCAGAAAGCCACACATGTCCTGGGCTGCATCCAGAGCAGGGTGGGCAGCAGGGCCAGGGAGGGGATTCTGCCCCTCTGCTCTGCTCTGCTGAGCCCACCTGAAACCCTGCAACAGCTCTGGGGCCTCCAACATCAGAAGGGCATGCAGGAAGCCACAAAGTTGGTTAGAGGACTGCAGCCACCTCCCTTGAGAAGACAGGTTGAGAAGGCTGAGGCTGTCCAACTTGAAGAAAAGAAGGTTGTTGAGAGACCTCATGGCAACCTTTCAGTATCTGCAGGAGGCCTCCAGGGAAGCTGGAGAGGGACTCTTCATCAGGAACTGTAGTGATAAGACAAGAAGGAGATTTAAATGAGGTGTTAGGAAGCAATTAGTTACTATGAGGGACGTGTGACACTGGAATGGGTTGCCCAGGGAAGTTCTGGATGGTTCAAACTGGGCTTGAACCAACCTGGCCTTGGCCTTGATCAACCTGGCCTACTGCCAGGCCTTGATCAACCTGGCCTACTGCCCCTGCTATGGCAGGGGTGTTGGAACTAGATTATCTTTAAGGTTCTATTCCATCCCAAGCCATTCTGATATTCTAACAGCCAAAACCCCCACTGTTAAGGGCTGAGGATTGAATTTTTGACGTATCTGTTTGCTGGCAGTGCGGGTGAGGAGAGGAGTGAAAAGGTGGTGTGCTCTGTGTCAATTAGGCTGAGGGGACATCTGTTTTACAGCAGTGTGTATCTTACAGGCATTAACTTTAATACATGCATTGCAAATATTCAAACAAACAAAAAAAAAATCAAATTTTTATATATTCTTTTGTCTTTCAGACCCCTTCTGCTGTCCAGAAGATAAAAGAGCTTCTGAAAGATAAACCTGACCATGTAAGTGTAGACAGGGTCAGTCTTTAGGGTATGCTAAGGTATTGGCATAGCTCATGATTACAAAGCATTTCTGGCTAACTCAGAAGTTCGAACTGAACACTGAGGTGTTTGTTAGAGATGGTGATTTTTTTTTTTTTTTTTGTGGGGAATGCATAAGCTTATTTGTATATCCAGCTTTGTTTTATTATAAAGTGAAATGCAGGAAACAACTGACTGTAATGAAAATTCACTGTACAGTTACTGTTGAGATTAATGAAGTTGGAAAAATTTTGAGGTTGAGATATTTTTGAGCTACAGTTTAATGAAACCCTTTAGTATTGCATAGTAATGACTTCTAATAGGGAGAGGGCTCTTCAGCTGTTATTATTTAAGTTCTTGTAGGAATTCTCATTGTGTAGTATGCAATAATAAATTTATAATCATATGCATTGGAGAACATCTAATTCTTAGGAGAAGTGCCAGACAATGTGTTTTTTTAAGTAACCAGTGTTTCACCCAATAATTGTTTCTTTTGCTTCCTGCTTGTCTGCAACTAACTAGACTTATTTGTTCAAATGTTTTAAACCATCCTAAGGAAGCCTTGGGCCTACACTTTATATGGTCAGTCGTTTCCTGGCTTTAAATGGTATTTGCATTTTCCAACCCATTATTTGTAACAGTTCCTGTAGAGAAAGGTATCTAGTCTGAAAGGATCAGATGCAGTTTGTCTTGAGCTGATTTGATGAGAAGTATTAGATTTTGGTACAATTTTATATCAACATATGGACATAGACAATAAAATTTGGCTCTTCAGTTATGAAGCACTGGTGTGTAGAAGGTGATACAGTTACTTCTTTAAAGACTCTTACCCACAAATAGTTTTCTACTTTGTTAAAACTTCTCTATTTTTCCTTACACGGATGCTCTTCTTGTCAGACTTGCTGAATGCTGTGAATGTTACAAACATTGACTAAGTTGGCTTTTAATGCCAGTTAAAAGAGTACACACATACATACACCTGATTTAGGGAGGTGTTTGCTTCTTGGCAATAGAGGTAATAAAAATCAAAGTACGTTTTTCAGAACTTTGGTTTAAAGTAAGTTTTCGGACGGTGTCATTACAAGAGTTCTGTGATAATCTAGTGACTGCCTTTATTTTGGCCTCACAGCTTCATAATTATGTTACTGTCATACTAGCTGAATTAGCATCTGAGTAAACTGTAATTTGAAGTCACAAAATACCTGTCTTTGAAATTTGACTGTCTTTTTGAGACCTGGTTCCTATAGGAGTGCCCATAGTTACTTAATTACTTCAAAAATTTAACATACTGTAGGGCATGATCCACTCCAGCAAGGATCAGATGGGGTTTTTTTTACCTTAGCAGTCAAATTTATAAAACAAAAAAGAAAAAGTTATCTCTTATCTGTTACAGTAATTCACTTTTACATTTAGGCAGTGGAGAAGAATATATGTCAGCACTTCATTGTTTTGCATACTTTTTAACTTGATGTTCTGAATAGATTTTAAAAAGGAAGTTGTGCATCTGGTGGTGTTTTTGTTGTTTCTTTTTCTTTAGGTAGGTGTGAAAGTAGGTGTTCGTACAAGGGGATGCAATGGACTTTCCTACACGTTAGAGTATACAAAATCGAAAGGAGACTCTGATGAAGAAGTAGTTCAGGATGGTGAGTTTCTGGTGCAGCAGCACAAGCTTCTGTGGTGGGGGGAATGAAACCTCATCATTTTGAGAGAAGAAATCTAATGTCAAAGTTGTCAAAGTTTTGTGTATCTTGTTGGATTTACAGACCTTAAGAAGGATATGAAGTGGGTTACTGTCTGCTATGCATGGGAATTGTGTACTCAAGCTGAGATTTGTTGCCATGTTCTACCATTTATTTCCATCAGCATCATTTTTTTGTCCCCTGTCAAAAAAACAGACATTCATGTGCACACATAAGTAACAGTTCCACACTTCTGCCAGACTTGCATTGGTAGAATGAAAACAGTGATTGAAGTGTTCCAGATTAGGCCAGGGAAAACAAGTTGTACTGGTAGTCCTTTTACTTAGCTTCCTCTTCTTTTATTACTGGTCAAAAGAGAATTTCAAAGTGAATGATGGTTTTGCTCTGTGTAATTTCTGACTTCTGTTCTTTTCAAGGGGTTAGAGTGTTTATTGAAAAGAAGGCACAGCTGACACTTCTAGGAACTGAAATGGACTATGTAGAAGACAAACTGTCCAGTGAATTTGTCTTCAATAATCCAAACATCAAAGGAACGTGTGGCTGTGGAGAAAGCTTTAACATCTGAAATGTGAAGATTACTTCTTTGACTTGGAGCAGCCCAAAACACTTACTATTATGACTTTCAGAAGCAAATGAATTTTCTTCAGGTTTGTAGGCTGCGTAAAGTGGGGATACTATTAAGAAAAATAAAGTTACATATTTGAAAATATAAGATGTGTGTTAAATTCCACTGCTGATGTAGTTATGCTGTAATTTGTGATGAGTTGGGATCTAAAAGGTAAGAACAGTAAGTGCTGCAGTAACATCTCTACTTTCACTTGCCAAACAAATAAAATTTCACTGTTCTTCTCCTCTGTCATGTTCTTTGTCATCCTACTCATACTTCCCCATTCAAAACCCATTTGAAAGAATGTATAGTGTTCTGCTTTGATTTGGGGAAAACAAACAAGCAAATAAACAAAAAATGGTAACCATTTCTGTGTGAGTATTTATAAAGATTTATATATACAAGCACACAGTCCTTGCTTACTTTGTACTTTTCCGATGCTTTCATCTTTTTACAAGTGCATTTTCTGGTCATTTATTTTCCCTTAAATTCAGGGAAATAAAAATGTTGTTCATGTATTAATATAGTGGTAGCATCTGTTGTAGAAATGCTTGGAAGAGGGCTAGCCTAATTTTAATTGTTTTCCTTTCTTTGTTGAAGGCATAGTCCCTGCTGTACTTGGTCATTTTCAAAGCATGAATTATCTGGGTACTGGAGGGCTAAAAAGGGATACGCAGGCTTTGTTTTTCACATTTCAGAGTTTTATCTTGCTTCAGTTTGAAAAGGTGATAAAACTGCTTCCATATTCTTATTCCCCATGTTCACAGGATGTGCTGTGTTAACACAAAAATCTATGAAAACTTATTGAGAGAAAAATCCCAGATTTCTCATTATTTTTTTTTTCTGTAATCATGCATGCTACTAACCTTGTTAGAGTTTGAACTCTTTTTCATTACTCTCAGTAATAGAATTTTGTGACAGCAGCTCTTTCCTTTTCCTTCAAATAATCCTGAGACTCCTTTACATAACAAACATGTTTCAATAAGCAAAGCAATCTGTTATATATTGGCTTCTGTAACAATAACCGAAACAGCTGCATGAGGCAAAAGAAGGATTTGTTCTGGCTTTGTCTTGTTCTAAACAGATACAAAAAACATTGCCATGAAAATTATCCCTTAGTGGCTGATAAAAATGGAACTGCCATTTATGCTCCCAAATACTACCTTTATCTTAAGGCTCTTAAGGAGCATTTTCAGTAATAACGGCTGATTTAGATGGATTCCCAGGATGCTGGATCATTGCCAATGACATTAATGGTTTAAGGCTCCCTGAATTGATTGTTGTAATCTGCAGAAACTATTTCAGGACATAGATGTATTGTTATTAATCCTATAAAATGGTGTCAGGGTCAAAGCAAGTTGACGATTTGTGTTGCAATGCAAACATAGTGCAGGAGAAGATGAAATCTTTTAATAAACGTGAAATTGGTGAGAGAACAATATTTCATCTTCTTTGAAGAATCAGGGGCCAGCCAATTCAGATTGCTGCAGTAGGGAGAGTGTATTTAGGCTAAGGCTACACTGCAAAAATCATTCTTCAACAGCACACTGATTCCATTGAGTGCTATTCCACACAGTGTTTGAGGTATTTCACTTCTTTTACAAAGTTAAAATGTGCTCATTTCCCCTTCCTCATTCTCTGTTTACATAATCTGATATGATATTCTTTATTTCACTAAATATTTCATATGAATCTGATATGATTTTCTTTGATATGATATTCTTTATTTCACTAAATATGATAATCTTTATTTCATCTGAAAGTTCAATGTATCTGTCCTAGTTTAGGACAAATTTGGGAGAAAAACCTCTGGAAGGAGCCTCCAGAAAACAGAACCCCCATGGCCCCTCCCCACCCACCTGGTTTGGGAAGAATTTTCTTGGAGAGAAGTGGAAAAGAACCTGTTTATTTAACAAACAAAACACTCCCCAGCACCAAAGCCAAATTAACAACACCAGATGACAAGAAAACCCTTTCACCACACTGAAGAGATGAACAAATCCAGAAGGTCTCTCCTGGGAGTGGCTGCCCAGGTCTGGGCGCTGGGAATTGCCCTCCAGCACTGGGGATGGCTGCTGCAGATCACAGAGCGCAGGCTCTCAGTGTTCCTCGGGGTTTCCCAGGTGCCTTGTCTGTCACTCGGTGTCCATTCCCCTACCTCTAGAAACTTCCATCCAGGGCGCCAAGTGATTGGATGAGGGCCTGGGGCCCCTCCCTTGTCTATCCCTCACTGGTTCCCTTGTATTTCTATCTCCACAAGAGCCACTCCCTAATGTCTCCCCATTGGCTGATCAGTTCCCCTCCCTCCCCCTATATAACATGTTGCCAACACCCCTCAAGTGCTCTTGTTGGCTGGCTTCCTTCGCATGCTGTTGGACCCTCAGGGTCTCAATAAACATCGGAATCTTGCCCCCAACAAGTGCCTCTCCTATTTGCCATTGGGATCCGCTGCGGCCTTAGGACCCACAAAGCACTCTCCAAAGCCCATCTGGGTCCAGCAGGGAGTGCTTCCACCTGCCCTACTTGCCCCACAGGAGAGCTAGCCGGGGCTGAGGATATCTGGGACAGTGGTCTGGGGCAAGGACACGGCAACCTAGGTACATACACTTTTCCCCTTTTTTCCCCTGCAGACAATCACTCTTGGTGACATTTGGGAGAGTTTAAAAAAAAAAAAAAAAAAAAAAAAAAAGAGAGAGAGATAAATTATGAAGAAATATATCAATAAATAAAGCCAAGTAAGAAAATATGAGAAAGAGCAAGGCTTGTGTTAGGGATGTCAAACTGACTCCCCAACTGTGCTACTGGGGATGATGAGAGTACTCCAAACACCAGGCTCTGTTATTCTGAAGCAGGTGCTGGTAAGCCTTAGAAAATCCTTCCAGAGAAAGTCCTCATCAGAGCAATTTGTTTATCTCTCATAGTACCTGGATCTCTCAAACTTCAGAATATTTATTGGAACCTGTAAGAGCTCAAGATCCCTTTTCCTCCAGACAACAAGCACCGCAACATCAGTATGACTTTTTTCTGCTAGAACAATCTTCACAGAGTTTCTAGAGAACTGTTTTTATCTTTGGAAGACTTAATTAAAGGGGCTGTGTTTGAATTATGATACTTGATTCTCCTTCCAAAGTGTTAAATTATTTTTGAAAATGTTTCCTGTCCACCTAGAGTTACAAAGTACTTTTAATCATGGAAGGCTGCTTGATTATATCTCAGTATTAAGTTTCTAACTTTGACTAACTAGATGAACCAATTCATTAAAACTTTGTATTCTAGGAATTCCACAAAGTCACCAGAAAACATGTCCCAGCTCCATCATCAAAAGGTACAAATGTGTTTCTATTGGGTAAAAGCCTCTTTACTTCCTTACCTTCCATCTTACCAAGAGGAAGCTAAGCTGGTGATAAGTTTGATCTTAGCCTGGCACAATGCAACTCTTCATTTACCTATTGTAACACATTTCTCAGGTTCTACCCTAAAACTGATATAGAGGATCAATAGACTATCCCATTTTCACTCTGTAGTCTGCAACAAGCCAGAGAGCTGGGGGCGCAGCCAAGGCAGGGATCTCAGCATTTATATCCAGATTTTTTTGGATGTAACAGAGACAGAGAAATCACTGAACTTCGTTGTGGTACTAGTCTTGAATACATGAACTGACTACGGAGGCCTTTAGCAACAGTCTTCAAATAAGACACAGCCAGGAGTTCCCCTGCAAACCAAAAGCTGCAGTGTAACTAAGCAGATATGATAAACAAATCTGCATCAGAGACATGACCTGCTTACACTGTGTGTCAAATGAGGAAAAGCAGAGCACTGCTTGTAGCTGCTTGCACTGGGATTGGAAGGAAGAGAGAGATTGGAGGTCTTGAGCAGAGATGAGGGTGGTTAAGACCAGGTTCAGTTGCAGGCTCTCTGCAACCAGGCCCTTTGACGAATAAGGAAAGTTTAAACCTTGGGATTTCTCTGTTGCCATGACATAAAATACTGCTGGATGAAGACATGCAAGTACAAAACAGGATGAAATATCCATTCTGCTATTTCAGAGATAGAGCAGAATCACAATTGCTTCATAGATAATAGTAACTATTCATCCTAATCTTCTGCCAAAAGCCTATAGTCTACAACAGGGTCATGCTAACCCACTGTCCTCTTCTCCCCAGATAAAAGAATGTAGGATATCAACAGAATAGAAAGCACATGTTAAATATCTGACTTGTGCCTATCTATTATCCTCCTTCTTCCTACATAATAACCTCCTCTTCTCTATTTATATTCACATCTATATTTAATGCTCACTGAAGACTATGGACTTGTGTTTGATGTTCATCTGAAGACATGATTCATCACAATCCTCATTTTTAGTAATGGAAAAGGCTGTGGTAGAAAAAAGCCAGATGAGCGCTTTTCATCTCGATAGCCACATAACTTTTATGTGAACTTGAAAAGTCATTCAAAAGATTGCAGTCTCAGCCTATTGCAGTTGATACACAAAGTTTTCTGAATGCTGCATGATCCTCCCTAGCAGAATCTGATCTCTCCTTCTTTAAAGAACACTCATTAAAAAGAGACAGCATATTATTCATTCTTTGACCTACCATGTCTGTTGTTTTTAACACAATATGTAAAAATATTCTATTAGTTATAAGTTTTTGAAAAAACAGATGTTATGATTTCTATGTCAGTAGTCTTGAGAATGAAAAACAAGGACAACAGGTCAATTATTAAATTGTTTTTCACACGCTACCCTGCAGCCAGAGCCACTAGTGCTGACTCCTAAACAAGTGGTCAGAGAAGAGCTTGGCACTCCCTTCCCTACTATCAACACAAACCCTCTAAGAGCAACCTACAGCAGGGTCATTGAATGCAGACAGCTGAAGAGCTTCTGATATCAACTCAGCATAAAAATAATCTACTGACCTTCCTTACCAGAATGAAAGGAGCACCAGACTATTTTGTGTCATTGAACATATATGCTCAGAGTCTCCTATACATCCTCACATGGAGAATGCCAATCTACGGAGGTAAAAATATTCTTACACACAGAGTTGGTTGCTATCTATTATTTATCACAACTTTATAAATCTCTTTGCACAAAACACATGTTTACTTCCCTCTTTTCCAATCTAGCTAGTTCCCCTTCACTAACATCATCCTATTTGAGATCAGACACAGCTGAGTAAAATGACACTATAATTTAAGAACATAATTTAATGTGAACTTCTAATTCCAATGTGAAAGATTGAAATACCACTGGATATATGAATTCATTAAACAGAAGATATTTTCATCCATCAGAATACATTCTTTACAGAAATAAGAAACCAACCTCCAAATTTACAGTTGGTATTAGGGATATTGTGGTTT